TTGGATGAGTGACGAAACTTTTCTCCAACTGAAAATGTCCAGATGAACAGAATCAACCTTTTGGGATTTACTTACCTGGATGATTAAGCACGCATCAAGACGTTATTTTATTAAACATTTTAAAATGTTAGCAGCACAAACAAAAATTTTTGCAGCACAAACCAGCACAAATGTTTGACATCAATTTTGTTTGATTCCATTAATATGGGGGGGCTGGTTGACCTCTAGAAATTTTTGTTAATATCTTTAAAATGATAGCAGCACAAACGAAAAGTTTTGCAGCACAAACGTAGCACAAACGTTTGATACCACTTTTGTTGGATTTGAAGAAGGTGGGGGGGCAACTTCACTCACATCTGAGAAAGCGGGTTGTGTCCTTGAGCCGGGGATGCTTACTCCTCAGAGGGCCAACAGAGTCCAATATTTCAGAGCATGTATTGTTTAATAAGGCATTCAACATCAAGATAACTGTCATCAAGCAACTATAACAATGAGTCTTTAAAAGCAGCAGAGAATTGGGATCCAGCACAGGGGTTTAACCTATGCACCAGGCATGTGGAAACAGGAAGTGACCTGTGGGACACCAATAGAAAAAGGCACTGGCAGATAGCCTAAGATAACGTGTCACACAAGGTCCAATGTATGACCTTTTTTATGTGTCAGGTCAGCAACCAACTGAGTGAGATTAAGAGTAAATACGGTCAAGAAAGACTTTGATGAGCGGTCTGGACTCACAACATACATGAATGTTAGTCTCCAACAATTAAAAAGTGATCATAAGTGTCACTGGCAAACACTTTAAATAAATGTCTTTTTTTTAACTTTGGAGGACGATGCAAAATTGCACAGAGAACTGTCATAAGAAAGTTGGTGACAAAAGCCTGAAGTTAGAAGCTGTAGCAGCGTTCAAACAGAACATTACAATGGGAGCTGGACTTGATTACAGAGGCCAACCAGCCACCTTTACCAGTGGTGGTGGATAGAGTAGCTACAAAGTTCACTTTCCTTCATGTCAGAGTAGTTTGAGGTGGTCTGATGAAGGACTCCTGCTAGCTTTTTCACAATGAAGCTTTTAATGGTGATTACAGGAACAGCGTTGCTTTGTTGGACACCTCATTGCTCTTCACGGTGTGTGCATGTCTGTAGACAGACTCCACGTTAAACTATAACATCATTGATGTCGCTGCTGTTGTTGTGTTATCAGTCTTTTTGTTTAAAAACTGGGGGATATGTGGCCTACTGTTGTCATTTTTTTTTACTCGAATCTCTGTTCCTAGATATATTTCTATTGCAGGTCTGTCTTTAATTGCATATGTGGCTGAAACACTTGAGTTTACATGTGCCAACTGAGTGCTACAGAGAAACGATTATTTAATTGTATCTTCTGTGCTTCAATATCGAATTCACTTATGTCACCTAAGATGCACAGCTTGGGTGAGGTTGGGATACATTAACTAAACCATGTGGATAGGTCTTCACATATCCTTTGGCAGAACCTTTGACAGGTGTGCAGGATCATATTGCATGCATATAGCTCTCAGGAGAGTTGTCTTTGCAATCTGTGCATATGTTTTATTGTGTAACACCCATTTGGAACAACCTATGTCCTGTATAGTGTGTTCTGTGGAGAATTTTGTATTATATATGTTGTAAGTTGGTGGCTTTTAGTCATTTTTAAAGTGTTTCAGCATATTTGTGTCCAGACATTTTGATCTGGACTTTGATGGAGCAATAATTTATTCTATTTATTAGTGCAAGTGTATCATTGGCTTACTGTCTGGCCTAGACAAAGCCCATTAGGTCACAATGTACTATGAATGGAGTGGGGTTTCTTCTAATCTTCTGCCAAGGACTATCTTAAGGTCTACTTATGGGAGTGTAGGATCTTTGCCTGACTAATGATGGTAGCGTTCATGTTTGGAGACCTGAGGATTGAATGCAATTCTTAACATGCTGACTGTGGTGCAGAAAATGCTTCAGATTCGATCGATGTGATCAAGTACAAAAATTAGGAGTTTGGGAAGTCCGGGATCATCTTCAATCTACTCTATGTATACTATCCTGTCTTTTCAGCATGGGAATGAGCCATGATGATGACCACGCCACCTGCATTGGCTATTCCCATATAATGTCTGGTGAGTGGGTGAAAGGAAGAAATCCCAGTGATCTTTCCTGGTCGTCCTGCAGTCGCAATGACCTGGAGAATTTCCTCAGGTACAAAACACAAGTTGGAAAGTCTCTCTTCTCGAGTTACTGTTGTTTTACATTGTTTACATAGCTAGCTAAAGTCTTTGCCAAGGAATAGTGTCTTGTCTAAAAAGTCAAGTTACAATGAAAATATAAAAAACATGCATTGTGGATGTTGATATCATCAATTACCACCTATATCTCTTTTCAAAAGAAAAAACTAATACTGTTTAAATATCCCTGCTGTAAATGCCAAGTCTCTTGTGAATGGGACAATAAAAAGAAAATGAAAAGAGAATTTTTTTGAAGTAAAATTGTTTATTGTTAGCAAACCTGATCAATGTCTCTTTTTTGTATTTCAAACAGATCAAAAACCAGCACCTGCCTACTTCACACAGACCTCAGGAGGCGTTACCAGGTCCAGCTGCCCCCCAAGCTGCCCGGCATGCACTACAGTGTGGTTGAACAGTGCCAGATCCTTTTTGGAACCAATGCAACCTTCTGCAGTGAAATGGAGGTACAATCCCATTGCACCTGTGTATAATATTTGATATATTAGGCAGCTTTTACTAAAGGAGGTGGGATTTTAAAATTTCAGAAATCTTCCCATAAATAGCAAAATGGTTGCTTTTTTTTTTTTTTAATTCTTCAGAAAGTACTATTCTGACTATTCTCATAATAAAAATAAGACACCTTGTTCCGCTTTGTGCTTTTGGATGAAGCAATAACAAGCCACCATCCTTTTAAATTAAGTTAACCAGGGGAGTTTTCTTTGTGCTTGGATGCAGCATTCTCTTACAGTGAAATTTTTGATTTTGTCTATGAGTTATAGCAGGAGAACTAACTGTCATAATCAGTGGTGATCCTCAGTTTGACATAGAAGTTAATGGAAAATTTCAGATCCATGACAGAGCAGCATATGAGCATTCATAAGCTGAGAAAACAGAAGGTTTGGGGAGTGATCTAAGAGAAACAGCACAGTAGGTGGTCCAGAGGTGTACAGAAAGACAAAACTAAAGAGGATAGCGAAACATAGTTATGTTTCTCCTCTGTATGAATTAAGTTCTGCAACATTTTGAGCACACCTCATATATTTAACTTGTCTTCTTTAGACTTGAAACCAACCACATTATCAATTTAAGATGACATAGCAACAAGATGCTAAGTCAACCCAAGTCAACCCTGAGTCTCTGTGTTGAAAGTGCAGAGTTCAAACTACATACCAGTTTTTAAATCGTGTTGATAGGCCACGTAAAACCAGAGTAATGATAAAAAAAATATATGCAATGTTATTTCCTGAATATTATCGTTATGTTTACTGCAGGAAGAAACGTTAAAAACTGTGTTTTCTAAGGAAAGTGCTTCCAAGCACTCTCTGCTTGTAGCAGGAAAAAAATGTACCATGTTGACCAATCAAAAAATTATATGGCAACATGCCATTTGGTTGTTTAGGAGGAGGGGGAGATTTTAGGAGTGACGGCAGCGAGAGAGAGAAAGAGAGAGAGTTTTGAGATTTTAGAGATTTGTGACGTTTCGTGTGTTTGGAGTGTAGTAAGTGTGTTGTGTAGTAGATAGTTTTGTTATGTGTGTCAGAACAATGAGGCGACTGCTGAATTTCACAGTTGCTGCCAAAAAGCCACCAAAGGCAGACTGCACTCCAGGTGGAAAAACAGGAGTGATACACCTGTTTTCAGACCTGCAGATATCAGGCTTGTGATCTGGTCCATCTTATAGTGGAAAGAAATTATTTTTTGGAGTGGCACAAATCGTTTTATGCAAAACACCTGATTGTTCTGTAAATAGTTTGAAATGGTTATTTTTAAAAACGCCTTGGCTGCATTTTTAGGTGAATAGCAGAATATAACTTTGTTGTTTGCAAAACTTGTTTTAAAATTTACAATTTATATCTGCATTTCAAGTTATGAAAATGATTTGTTAAGCATGTTTGTGGTTGTTACAGTAAAAAATCTAACTTTCTTCTACTCGGATTTGATGGTTTTTTTTGTCTGATTTTAGATCAGTTGTGTTAAGACAGTATGTCAAAATGAATAAATAACTGTAAATTCAGACATGTGAGGTTGATACAAGGCTAGTTTTTAAAGGCAAAATGTAGAGGTAAAACCAAAATAGTCAAAAACTGCCAGTTATACCTAGGGATGGGTACCGGTATCTGACATAAACGGTAGTAACCAGACCGAAAAGTAGCGCACATTTCGGTGCTTTTTTTTACTAGAGATGCCACACACTTTGGATTCTAGCCAATCATTTTACCTTTGCAAGCGTAGTAGGCGGGCCCAGGTACGTACGTTCTTTTAGAGCAGAGCTACAGATTAAAAATGCCCAAGGCGAAGCGGTGAAAAGTCTGGCTGCTTATAAGGATGGGGAAACCTGCAGGCAGCTGAGACTGAAGCTGAGACTGAAGACTTGGATGAGTGACGAAACGTTTCTCCCATTGAATGGTAAATGGCCTGTATTTATA